TGGAACTCCATGAACTTGTCATGCGGCCAATGAATTTCGTCCTCGCTTAAACCTCTCAACCCAGAGAGACCTTTCGGCGAGGCAGCGGAAGGATGCAGGCGGCGCCTGGGGCGAGGGCGCTGGGCCTTGAGACCAGCGTTCCGGACCCCGACGCACCTACCCGCCGGCCCTCTCCCCGTGGAAACCCTCTGGCTTACAGAGGCCCCACAAGATCTGCAGAAGAAGAGCGGGGGGGCCGTCGGCCTCCCCTCCGACGCCACACTTGTCCACAGAGTGCCCTGGACAACGCCACGGCAGCCCCGAGACACCCTGCAGGTCCACGTCACCCCCACCCCCGACGCCCTGGGCGTCGGGCTCGGGCGCGGGCGCCGTGGCACAGTCGCCACTTTTCCAGGCCAGACTCTCAAGGACAGCAAAGGACCTCGTCTAGACCGTCCTCGCCCGAAGCGAGGTCCAGATCCAACATAACTTCCGAAGTTTTTCGGGCGAAAGCTGGGAGCAGTAGGCCAGAGAGCCTCGGCAAGAGTGAAGGTCGAGGACCTCGGCGCCGTCTGGGGCACCCTCTGTAGGCAGCGTTGGAACGTGTTGCTCAAAAATCAGCCACAGCCAATTTGGCAGTGCCTGTATGCCGCCACGCCCGGCCGCGGGGGGGGGGACAGGGCAAGGGGGGCGGGGGAGAGGACCAGGAAGATGAAACAGAGGAGGGAAAGGAGGAGGAGGAGGAGGAGAAGGAGGAGGAGGAGGAGGAGGAGGAGAAGGGAGGAGGGAGGAGGGAGGAGGAGGAGGAGGAGGAGGAGGAGGGGAGGGAGGAGGAGGAGGAGGAGGAGGAGGAGGAGGAGGGAGGAAGGAGGAGGAGGAAGAGGAGGAGGAGGAGGAGGAGGAGGAGGGTGGAAGAGGAAAATGAGGAGGGGGGAAGGATGAAGCGGTGTGGAAGAGGGAGCGGGTGGGGGGCGGCGGGGGGGCGAGAGAGAGAGAGAGTCGGACAGGGAGTGGACGATCAGGAGACGACTGCCGGCCAGGATGCAGATCTCGCCGAAGGCGGCTGGCGCATCAGGGACAGAAGCGAACCCTTTGGCGCAAAACTCGCCGTTCCTGTCAGGGGACGCTGGGGGGGCCCATGGGGAGGAGGAAAGAGGGAAGGGGAGAGGGGACCAGGACGAGGAGGAAGAGGGGAGGGAGGAGGAGGGAAGGACGAGGAGGGGGGGCGGGAGAGGGAGCGGGGGGGGGGGCAAAGGGAGCGGGGCGGGCGGAGGGGCACCCAGAGGGAACCGAGGAGAGGAGGCAAGGGGAGGGACGCAACGAGCGGAGGGAGGAGGCAAGGGGAGGGACGGGGAGGGATATCATGCAGGGGTGGGAGGAGGCGGAGGGCGGGGCCGAGCCGGCGGCGCGTCGAGGGGGGAAGAGATTTCAGAAGCCTTCCGGCCGCCTGAGGAGTCTCCTGCGGTGGGAAGCTTCTCAGAGGGCCGGGGGCCTAGATCTCCTGAAGAGGCCCGCCCCCTCTTGCCTTCCCCCCTGGGCGCGCCGCCGAGAGAGGGAGGGAGGGGGAGAGGGATGACTGGGGAGGTAGCGGAGGCAGGAGAAAAGGAAGAGTGGCAAGCCAGGCGGGCTCGCATAGCATCTGGCGTCCTGCCCAGCCTGGACTCGAACCAAGACTCCTCTACGAGGCTCTCGGTCCCTGGTCCCTCGATCCGCCGCCTGCTCTGTCCGAGGCGGGTCGGGCAAGATGCTGCAGCAGGAGCTCGACCGCACAAGACCTTCCACAAGAGACCCAACCCTGAGACCCCATGAGGTCCACTGATTTCTGGGCGCGGGAACGTCACGCTTTCCATGAAAAAGCCACCGAAACCCAAGAAACCCAGGGCACCCTGGAGGCAAGCAGGGTGTCTCCTCGCACGGGCTTCCTCCGTGTGACAATGGAGCGCGCCGCGCCCGAAACGGAACACAAACGGCGCCGAGGCTCCGAGACTCCTGGGAGACGGGGCAGGCGGGGCGGGACGCGGAGAGGAAGGGGGAGGCGCGGCGGGGAGGGAAAGGGGAGGAGGAGGAGGAGGAGGAGGAGGAGGAGGAGGAGGAGGAGCCCAGCGTACCGAGGGGTTCGTCAGCCTCGCTAGCCCCTGGGCGACCGCGCCTTGTCGACCCAGAGGCCGACGAGAGGCGAGGCGGGTCGCGCGGGCGCGGGCCTGGTCGAAGCAGGCGCCCAGGTCGGAGACGTTGCCGACGGGGCGGCCAGCGGCCGAGCCATAGTTTCAATCAAATGCTGGCGAGGAGGCGGGAGGACAGAGCCAGAGACGGAGAGCAGCGGCGGCAAATGCCGCGGATGGCGGAGGGGGGGGAGGACAGGAGAGACGGCAGAGGGCAACAGCAAGGCAGTCTCGAGAGGCGGAGGGGACGAAGAAGAGATGGGGGCGGTCGAAAAGATATCGATGCGAGCACGCCCAGCAGCTGGGGTACACAAAGCTCGGGAAGGTGGGGCAAGCCTGAGACCGTGGTGAGCATTCGGGGAGGCGTGGTCACTCGACGGATCGAGCGGCGGGGTGATGGCGGGAAACAGGGAAGGCACAAACGCGGAGGGAGGGGGAGCAGGCGGGGGGCAAGCAGAGGCAGGGGCAGAGCTCAACGGAGCGAGGGACGAGGCGGGGGAGGGAATGAAAGAACGCTCTGAGATGGGCTCAGGGCGCACGTGCAGGTGGGGCGAGACGGCAGGCTGAATAGAGACAATTTTCTCGAATGGGGGCTCATGACGGGAGGTCGATCCCGCCGCGGAACTGGGAGAGGCAGGAGATAGCCCCTGGGAGCACGGAGACGCCAACAACGCACGACAGGAGGTAATCCGCGAGGATGGGGCCGCCACCCGCGGAGCGGTCGGAGCAATCGAAGACGTCAGAGTAGCCGAAATCGAGGAGCAAGGCGGGCGCGGAGAAGACAAGGCCATGGGCGCCGTTGACAGAAGGTATCCATGAAGCGAGCGACCCACCGCAATCGACATCACAGAGCTGGATGGCTGCGCCTCGTAATTTGCTCGAGCCTGGGGCAGCGGGCTCGAGGAGCACCCACGCCCAGGACTATGCGCTCTGACACCAGCAGAGGGGAGAGGCCGCGCCTCACAATTAACTCGTGGAGCCTGGGAGGGCGGGCTCGAGGAGCACCCGCCACCAGGACTTTGCGATCTGACGCCCTCAGAACCAAAGGCAGCGAGAGAGCAATCCACCCCGTCGCAATTTACTCCAGATGCCTGCTCAGACGGGTTCGAGGAGCACCCCCTGGCAGGACTTGGCGTTCTGACATCATGCACCACCGCAGCAGGACGGAAGTCGAGCATGACGAGGTCGTCCGAGTCGTCCGCATCCTCCGAGGAGCAGGGAGATGATGGCCCAGACGTTGCCGAAAGCGGGGGAATGGACGCACTGCAGGATGAGGAGGAGGAAGAACTCGACGATGAGGATGAGCTTGAGGAGGAGCTCGCAGGACGGGCCCCCCGAGGATGCCAGTGGGGAGCAAGCGAGGCTCGTTCCTCCTCCGAAGCACGGGAGGGATGCGCGAGACGCATCGCTCTCACTCCAGCCAGAGCGCAGGCGTGAATCTGCTGGGCAGAAAGCGGCCACTCACGGATGGCGCGGGCCTCGTTGTACATGTTGCACGCGGCCGTGAGCAGCGAGAACGAGGAGAACGAAGGAGACGCCAGGCCCCAGCGAGAAAACCATTCGAGCGGGAAGGGGCGAGCCCGAGCACGTCTGAGAGCACGGTGCATGGGTGGGCATCTCGCATAGTGGCGGAGAGAGTCGATTATCTGCGTGCATCCGAATGCGCATGGTCTCTGGCCCAGCGGGGAGATGATCCTTGCCGATGTCATCCACCCGTCACACCAGGTGCGCAGCACGGCCCACGCCCACGAGTACGGACAGCGAGCAAGCATCGCGGCACAGTTGTCCCAGTCGATGGAGTCAAGACGGCCCCTCGCACGCCCAGCAAACTTCATCAGCCGCCGGCGGAAGAGAGCCTGGATCGGTTGAGCCGAGCACGCAAGTTGACGTAGAGCAAGGTGCGCAGCACGCTGAGGCCGAGATCGCTGTCCAGGGGCGGGGGAAAGAGCGGCACGAGCAGCAGGGAGCGCGGCATCCAGGAGGGCAGAGAGTCCAGAACCCTCAGGAGCACGGCCGAGAGCAGCAGCCCCAAGGTTCTCCGCCAGCGCCGTGGACTTCCAGAAGCCAGGATACAGGCGCCCGCGCGGCAGCATGTCGAGCGTCACGTCGGTGTCCCTCGAGGCGATGTGCTCGCGCATGTGGGACAGAATAGGCTCCCAGCACGTGTACGTGAGCAGAGCAGCGCGCGTGATGGATGCCACAGCCATGTGCGCCCAACGGATGACCCTGGGCGCCCCCCACTTCTCCAGCTGCACCCACACGTCGAGACCGAAGGTGCCGAGAGGAAGACGAAATACTTGTGCCAGCACTGCAAGCTCGGGTTGTAGGACCGAGCGCGGGATCCAGGAGAACTGCGCAACGTAAGAGAGAGTAGTAACAGCACGGGAATTGTATAGCTGGGCGGACTGGCTGGCGGGAGTGGTGCCACGGCCAATAGCTTGAGCCCGCAAACGCAGCTTGGTGAGCGGGTCGGTCCACGAACGATCGGGAGCGGCCCCAGGACCCAACCAAATGCCCAGGTAGAGCAGACAGTCGACCACCTCAAAGGATGACCACTCGGGGACCCAGTGGGAGATCTCCTGGAGGACGCGGGTGGCGAGCTCGGGAGAGAAGGGCCCGCAGAGAGGGACCACCTTGCACTTGCCGACCTTCAGCACGAGGTTGGCCATGCCAGAGGCCTTGGACATCACCCCAAAGACTCGAACGAGGTCGGCGATCGCGGAGAGCGTGCCCCCAATGTCGTCCGCACAGGCCCGCACGAGGCCAGATAAGGGAAGCTCAACCACCTGGACCAGCTCAGAGAGGAAAGCAGCCGTACTGAACGCAAATAACGAGCCCGAGAGAGCGCTGCCCTGAATAATGCCACTGCCAATCCAATATACGTGTTCCAGAGTCCCCTGCACCATAGCAACCCCGTCAATCGCAGCGTACAAGAAAGCGACGAAGTCGAGGAAACGATCAGGGAGCCCGAGAGTCCGAAGAGCGAGGGTCATGAAGCCTTGGTTCAGGGACGGGAAGGCCTGGCCGAAGTCCAAGGAGTACAAGAACGGGATATCCAGGGAATGTCGGGGAGTGACCGATAGCATCCTGGCCGAAGCGTCGAGCTCGATGATATTATCACCGAAGTTGCGGCGAGGGATGAACCCGCGCTGGCAAGAGGGGATAAGGTCCAGGGCGGGGCGAACAGCACGATTCATCGTCGCAGAGATGAGCTTGATGTCACAATTCCTAAGACCGAGGACACGAACTCTGTCTGGGGCCCGCTCGCAGCCCCCTGATTGCAACCCGTTGTCAGTGACATTTTTCGGCAAGAAGATCTGAATAGTGTCCGAAGCAGAGGCGAACAAGAACTGGCCATCACCAATCCACTCGAGCGCATCCCAGAGAACCTCTTCAGCAAAGGGGTGAGCCTGCCACGCAGCATATTGAAGAGCATCGGGGCCAGGAGCGGAATGTTGAGCGCCACGAATAGCAGCACTGAGCATAGCACGGGAAGGCGGGGGGAGATGAAGATCATCAGCACGGGGCAGGAGACGGTGGAGGTAGGGGCGAGCAGCATCTTCGCCCCAGGGCTTCTTCCTGAAAATGGGACCCCAGTAGTCGGTGAGGGCCGTCAACCGCTGGGACGGGTCGGAGACAATCTCTCCGCTCGCGAGACGCACACACGAGAGGGAGACCCGACGATTCAGAAGTGACCACAATCTCGCTCTGCGCTCCAAAGCTCTGATGCGAAGTCGGATTTGAGCTCGGTCCCCCAGACGACGACGGCGAGCTTCCAACTCCTCTTCGGCGGCGGCCGCCGCAGCAGACTGGATATCATCGACCCAGGCCTGGAACGAGGGAGGGTGTATCAGCTCAACCATGCCAGCCCGCACATTGATCATGTCCCCAGCCACTGGATGTGATTCCTGAAGGCGGCGCGCAAGCGGAACGTCTTGACGCCAGACAACTCGTGCCAGTGCTCGTGCAAGCTGGAGAAGGGTGTGGGGATGATGAGGGCGAGCACGAAAGAGACGACCCCGAACTTCGGCAGAGGCGATTTTCATCAGCTTTTTGTAGTGCTCGAGCTTGACGGGCGGGGACATCTGGGACCAGTCGGAGGCTTTGATGAGGCCCTCGAGGCGCTGCTTGAACGCTGGCTCGTGGAAGATGTGTTTGGGAATGGCTCGCTCGTCCTGAACCCTGGGAGCCCTGGAAGCGAAGGAGATCAGCACGGCGGCATGGTCCGAGACGCATCTGTCCGACACTGACGCAGCCGAATCGACAGTCGACGCCTGAACCACAAGTTGCCACATCTGCCATCCCGAGAGCGAGCAAAAGAATCGATCGATGGACGATTCAGCATTCCCAGCACGCTCATAGCGCGATGGGGCGTCACTTTCAATCTCAAGCAGCGGGGCAAGAGCGCCCCGCCACTGCGGAGCGCGGGCGCGATGCTGCCGCGCGCTCCGCCGCACCGCCGCCGCGGGCATATGCAGCAAAACGGACTCGCGCGAGGAAAAGTTGAAGTCGCCATTGACCACGACCATGCGCGAGTCTGGCGCCCGCTCGGACGCAGCACGAGCAGCGCGGATATCACGTGCAACACGAGCAACTTCTGCCAAAGAAAGACCATGATTGTGTACGTTGTACACCTGAAGGCATACATCTCCCAAAGATATATCAACCCGAAGAACACGCCCAGGAACGAGAGGGACAGGAGGATGGACGACAGCACCAGGATGAAGAGGAGGAAGTACGACTGCGACGCCCCCGCGGATGCTGCCACCAGCATCAGCGTCACAAAAGCTAGAACGCACAGTAAGATCACGTGCCGCTGTGCCCAGGAAAGAGACAAGTTGGCGACGATCCTGGTGGACCTCCTGGAGAGAGAGGACCGTCTCAGATAGACGGAGCTTGATGAGGTACTGACGCTTCAGATCTGCTTTCTCCCCTCCAGCTTGCAAGAGCGCCCTGGCGTTCCAGGGGGCAAAGCGAAGCGGTCTCGCCGACGAGGAAGAAGACGGCGAGGAGGAGCGAAAGAGGGAGCACGCGCTAGAGAGACCACTGGCTGGTCTCGACTGGGTGGGTGATCTCCTTGGTCGTCTCGCGGGGGCGGGCGACGTCCATGTGGTTGTGCTCGAGCTTCGGGATGTCCCAGTACATGGCGGGGGGAGCGCCCCCCGAGGCGACCTCGATCTGCATGATCTTGTCCCAGCCAACCAGCAGGACGCCACGCTCGCGGTCGGAGTAGAGCCTCTTACCAGGGCAAGCCTCCTCCACCAGCCTGCGCACTCTGCGGAGGACGATCTCCTGCTTGATCTGCTTGGGGCTCTTGTCGGGGCCGAGGTGGATGCGGCAACGCACATCTCCAGGCGGGGTAATCCAAAATTCCTTCCACTCTTTGCCTTCACGTAGGTTGGCGAGGACACGGTCGACCTTGCGGGAAGCGACCCCGACGGGGCCGTTGAACTTGATCTCGAACCGCTTGCATGGGACCGTGCCTTTGGCAGCGATCTGGTAGTCGTTGCTGGCACTCTCAAAACCGATAGAGGACAGCCAGGGAGCCAGCACTTCACGAACACTTTCCAATGAAGAGGGGCGCTGGGAGATGGCCACGACCATGGTTGTGTCAATGTCGCGGTTGAAGCCAGCGGGAACTTGTGTCTGGGGACGAGGGCGAGCCTCTGCGAGAGCGAGTTCCTTCCTGAGCTCGGCCATCTCACGGCGGATGTCCACGAGGTCCTGGTTGTGCTTGGCGAGGCTGGACGTGTGGGTGTCGATGGCACCTTTCTGCTGGTCGATCTGGGCCTGGAGCCTGCGCGAAAGAGAGTCCAGCTGCGGAGTTGCAACCTTGCGCGCATCGGCCTCGAGGGTCTCGGTGTGGGCTTGAACCAGGGCTCTGAGATTCTCCACGGCGGCGAGCAGGGGCTTGTTGCTCTCGGCGGCGGTCTTGGCGATGGAGTCGCCGAAGTCCTCCTTGATGGAGTCCAACTCGGCGCGGCACAACTGACGAATGAAGTCTTCGTAGCCCTCGGGCATCTCGTCGTCCAGGGCGGGGGGCAACTCAGCATCACCGTCAGCATGAGTAGCCTCACCAGGGAGGGCACGACGCTTCTGCGGGTTGGGGTCGGAGAAGCGGGACGGAGCAGCTCCTTTGCCTTGAACTTTTCCTTTGCCAGATTTGACCTCCTGGGACGGGAAGGTCGGTACATCCTCCAGCTGCTCAGGCTGCGAGGTCGTGAGTTCATCAGCGCGAGGGCTCGCCACCATCACAGCAACTTGACTGGCCGAGGGAAGGGACGGTGCGGGGGCCCAACTCCCGCGGTAAAGGCACAAGAGAGCAATCAGAAGACTGATGAGCGGGCTGGAGAGTGGCCTCAAAGCGGAACCTCCCTCGCGCTCAGGTGTCGCCCCGAAAGACTCGCGGTCGTCGGGACGGTTCATGGCCTTGAGCCAAAATGGCTACGGAGGAGGAGGAGGAGGAGGAGGAGTGGGAGGAGGAGGAGGGGAAGAGGGCGAACGAGCCAAAGGGCGAGGGAGTCCACCCGCTCTCATTCGGCGCTGTGCAACAGGGGGCCCCGAGGAGGGCCCCGTTCGGGCCACACGGGGCACCATTTAGGGCCCCATCTCGGGAACAAAAGGTGCGCCCTGCTTCACTCCCCCACTTGTCGCCCCCCATGACAAAACGCCCGATTAGAGGCGCAAAAAAACGCGTAAACATAAAACTGTTGGAGGTCCGCGCGGGTTTCTTGGATCTGACCTGGTCCCGCTTCTCTGGCGCGCGGAGCGCGCCAGGGGCGGCGCCAGAGGCGCCGCCGGGGGGGCCCAGCGCGGATCCAAGAAATCCGCGCGGAGCGCCAAAGGTTGATGTCTATAGCGTTTTTCTTCTTCGACCGATCTCCCCCCTGTTCCCCTCGCGCTCCGCAGAGCGTGGCGGGGGGGGCCTTCGGACGGCTTGCCGCAGCCGTGGCCGCAGCCCTTGCCGTCCTTCGCGCGCGCGGCCGCGCGGCAGGGGCGGGGAGAGACGGGGAGAGGGAGGAGAAGGGGGGGGGAGGAGGGGAGGGAGGTACCGGAGGAGAGTTGTGAAGGAGGAGGGGTGGGAAGAATACGATACGATACGTCAACCGCTGCGGACACCGTCTGTGCCTAGTTAAGACCAGGTGGGCAAGGCCTTGCATCAGAAGTCTGGCGTGTCTGGACAACATGATGAAATGCAAGACACATGCATAAAAAATATGAGGGGAGGGAGGGGGGAGGAAGGTCCTGGAGGTCGATGCCGGCGTGCTGCACGGTATGCTAGTGTGTGTCGGTGTGGGAGAGGATGGAGGGGGAATGAGAAGAAGTGTGAGGAGAAGGAAGGGGAGCCCCATCATCAGCACCACCAGGAGGGAGCCAGATGGTCAAGGACACGAAGCACAGGACGAAGGATGAGGCACGGCTCAGCGCGTGCGGGGACGGCGGCCCGAGGGAAGGCCAGGAGCGCGCAGCGGCTCGGGGAGGACCGCGCGGCGAGGGTGCCGACAGGCTCGTCTGCGCACGCGGCACCGCAGGCGCAGGAAGCTCAATCGGCGGTGGGCAAGCCTCCCTTTAGTAAACCTCCCCTTAGCGAAAACAGCCTGGGAACGAAACCGACGGACCTGCACCCGCTGAAATGACGGCCGCGACGCCCTCTCGCGAACCGAGAACGGCCAATTCCTGAATCGACGTGTCAGGGTAGGAGGTCTGTCCACCCCCGACTCAAGTGGGACATCAGGCCATTCACCAGAGCCACGTCCACAGGTACGACGCGACTCTGGAGGTCCACTACTGCACATCGTGCGGGGCGTTCGGGCGGGAGCAGCTCAGGACGCTCGCAGGGGAGTGCAGCGGGGTGAGGAAGCAGGCTGGCAGGCAGGCAGAACCTGGCGAGGATCGAGCAGGGATTGCATCCAGGAACTTCGCAGTTCGCAAAGGACTGGAACGAGAAGGAGAAGAAGAATAAGAAGAAGAAAAAGGAGAAGAAGAAAACGAAGAAGAAGAAGAAAACCAAGGGCTTCTAATCAGCTCTGTGCGCAGTTTGCGTGCAGAGCTGGCTGGAGAGAACTGGCCCCCCAGCCTGGGGGGGGATCCGATGGACATCTGCCACACAACAAAAATGATCATCATCATCAGCAGCATCATCATCAGCAGCAACAGCATCAGCATCAGCATCAGCATCATTATAATCAGCATCATCAGCAGCATCATCAACAACGTCAGCAGAATCGTCATCACCAACATCATGATCGCCACCATCATCAACAACAGCAGCAGCAGTAGAATCATCATCTGCATAATCATCATCAGTATCATCATCGTTATAAGCATAATCCGCATCATCATCAGCATCAGCATCGTCGTCATCATCATCGTCATCATCACCATCATCATCGTCAGCAGCAGCAGCAGCCGCCGCGTAAGCAGCAACATGAGCATCAGCATCAGCATCTGCATCAGCAGCATCACCGTCATCACCATCAGCAGCAGCAACAACAGCAGCAGCATCATCATCAGCATCATCGTCATCATCCTCATCATCAGCAGCAGAATCGTCAACCTCATCATCATCACCATCACCAGCATCAGCATCATCATCAGAATCATCATCAGCATTATCATTAGCAGCATCATCCTCAACAACATTATCACCACCACCACAACCAGCATCAGCATCACCATCAGCATCGTTATGGCCAACCTCATCATCATCATCATCATCATCATCATCATCATCATCATCATCATCATCATCATCATCATCATCATCATCATCATCATCATATTCATCATCATCATCATCATCATCATCATCATCATCATCATCATCTCATCATCAGCATCATCATTAGCAACATCATCCTCAACAACATCATCATCACCACCACCACCACAACCAGCATCAGCATCACCATCAGCATCGTTATGGCAAACCTCATCATCATCATCAGCATCATCATCATCATCATAATCATCTCATCATCAGCATCATCATCAGCATCATCAGCAGCAGCATCATCATCGCATCATCAGCAGCATCATCATCATCAGCCTCCTCGTCATGCTCCTCATCGTCACAATCGTCATCATCATCAACCTCGTCATCATCCACATCAGCATCAACATCATCCTCATCCTCATCACCATCGCCTTTATATTCATTATCATCCTCATCATCCTCAACAGCAGCACCAGCACAAGCACCAGTATACTCATACTCATCATATTAATGTTCATCGGCGGCGTCCATGCCTGCCCTCCCTCCTTTCCCTCCCCTCCCTCCCACCCTCCCTCCTCAGCCTGCCTTCCCTCCCTCCATCCCTCACTTCCATTCCCTCCCCTTCCCCTCCCCTCCATTCCCTTCCCCTTCCCTCCCTCCATCCCGTACCTCCCTCCCCGCCCTACCCCCCTACCCCGCAATACCGGCACACTTTCGCTGCCCTGTCCTCCTTACCTCCCCGACCTCCCTGTCCTCCCCGCCCAGCTCCGCTCCTTGCCCTTGCCCTTGAAGCCTTTGCCGCTGTCTTGGAAGCCGTAAGCGTCGTGCGACGGATAGCCTGCCCAAACAAGGAGGCGGCAGCAACGAGACCAGAGATGAACTGGGAAGAAGCAAAGAGCCACATCAGACTAAAAGGAGAAGACCCGCTCAGCAGAGGAGCAGAAGAAGCAGGAGGGTGATTCGGAGAAGCGCGCAAAAACCAGACGAGAGAGTAGGGGGGCATCGTTAGCAGCAGAACAGAGGAGCACGAGGAGGATCAGAAGGAGGAGCAAGAGGAACGGGATCAGGAGAAGCAGCGGCAGCGGCAGCCAGGGGCGGAGAGGGGGCGCGGGGAGGGCTCCGGGCATGGCTCCCAGAGGGCCCCGCGAGAGAGGTCGGCAGGCCGCGGCCGCCCCGTCCCCGACCGCCTCCAGCGCTGCTCGGCGCTCTGTGGGCGCGACCCCTGGAGATCAGGGATACTCCAGCAGTCCTCTGGGCGGAAGATGGCCCGGCGTTGCACCTGGCCTGGACTCCTGCGCCCGGTCCTCGCATCCCAGGGGGGGGCAGGTCCCCCCCTACACCCTGCGAAATGCTTAAAAAAACATGGGTTAAGAAATTCATACTCTCAGAATTTGAATGAGAACCCAACATTTCTATTAAAAATTAGGATTTACATTGAAACATTAAGAATAATCGAGACTCTGACCGAACAAAAAAGTTTTCTTAAGCATCGCCTAAGGTGTACTAATTGCTCCTCGAAGGTACATCCTCCTGCGAGGCCACATACAGCTGGCAGGTTGCCGCCCCCTGCCGAGGGCGCTCCGTCCAGTCCACCCAAGAAAGGCAGCACGAAGTCCGCGCCTCTTGCCTTTCGACGTAGACGTGTTGGCGTCGACGCTGCAGAAACTCGCGGTGGGCATGGGACGGGGCACACACCGCGCACGCAGGCACGAAACGCCCTTCTCTCGCTTGGGCGGGGCACAGGTTCGCTCGACGGCTCGTCGACGCGCGAGCGGGCGAAGACCTTGAGTGACCAAGAAAGGGTACCTGATCCTTTTTGGGAGGGGATCAAAGTTGGGAGGGCCAGGAACACCAGGATTAGGGGTCCTCTTCTGCAGGCGTATCGAACCGAGCCGCCCAGAAAGATCATCCCTGACGCGAAGACGGGGACCTCGGTGAGACTACGTCTTCCTCTTGTTATCAGGGCTAGGGACGAAACATTGTTCACGCTCCGGCGCCGTGCAGACTCCGCCTGAAGATGGCGCTCCCGCCTCGGCGCGGAGCACACACTTTTCTCGCTCGCCCCCAGGCGTCTGGGGCCAGGGCCGCGTGCGACCTGCGGGCGACACCTGTTGCCCTCGCCTTAGGCGAGCCGCGCCAGTTTTTCGGCATCGGGTGACGCCTCCGCGTGGACGCAGCGAGTGCTCGGCTCGCCGCGTCGATGAAAGTGGCACCAGCACGCCCATTTCTAAGCGTTTCGAGCGGGGAGCGGCCAACGAAAGCGGCCAAGGATGGACCGAGGAGACAAGGATGCAAGGGTACAATTGGGAAGGTTGCCCATCCTTACTATGCGGGTTGACTGTATGCTTCGCTCGCCGATATCGATGAAAGCGGCACCAGCACAGGGGCTGCGCGCGACTTGGCGAAATGCTGCCCTCGCCCAAGAGCGCCGTGCGATTTGTGCGTGAGCGTAGAGAAGTGGCAGTGCCGTTTCGGCGCGGCGCATGCTTCGTTTCCGCTGCACTCGTCTACGAGAACGGCGCTTCTGCAACGCACCCTGTTTGAATGCCCTTCAGGCCTTGCTCCAACGCGGTTCGGTGCATAGGACTTTGGGGCTCTTGAGGCCGATCGACTATGCACCGTACTATTCCTGGGTCGAAGACCGACAACGCCTCGCGAGACGCCAACGCGGTACGGTGCAAACAGATCACTGCACCGACCTTGCAGACGTGCTGCAGCGGATTTTCGCGTGGACTTCTGTCACTGCAGAATTCCGAAACGACAAGCGAAAAAAACAAGGTGAATGTCACGTGGACTCTTGCTGTAGTCTTCATTCCTGGCCGTGCGAAGCTCACCTCTAGAGGCCTCCTAGATGGGGTCGGAGTAGATGGGGTCGGAGGATCGCGCTGCATCGGTGATGCATCGGCGATGCATCGGATATGCACCGGCGATACATCATCAACGTCGGCGGTGCATCGGCGACTTCGGCGTGAAGCACATCGGGCTCCGCATCGAGGCGCATCGGCGATGCATCGGCGATGTGGCGCGATCCTCCGACCCCATCTACTCCGACCCCATCTAGGAGGCATAGAACCTCGAGATCCAGAACGAGACTCTCCAGGACATTCCGGGCCCATCCCATCTTGCTTTCTGAACAAAACCCGCTCTGCGATGCTGGCGTCATGAAACATGCCGTCGACGGAGCCTCAAAAATCTGAACGCCCGAGAGCAGGCTCCCAACTGAAGGGGCCCTGGGACACACAAATAAATGCACACAAATAAAAATGTCCCCCATCTTTTCCCATATTTTCGGGGTTTCTGTCTTCCCCCCCCACTTCCCATATTTTCCCATATTTTCTGGGAATGGCCGATTAATTGTGTCTGTGTGTTTTTTCCCCTCCTGAGATGCTGGCGTCATGAAACATGCCGTCGACGGAGCCTCAAACATCTGACCGCCCGAGGGCAGGCTCCCAACGGGCGCTCTCCCCGCCGCGCCGCGTCTTGAGGACTCTCTCTGAAGCGCTCCGCCCCTCCGCCCGCGCGCGGCGGCACGCATACCTTTCCCCCCTCCGCCAGGTCGCCGGCAGCGGCACCTTCACGCGAGCGCCTGCCGACCGCCGGGTGGGAGCTCGTCCCCCAAAAATGGCTCTCAGCATCGGACGGGCGACGGCGCAGGCCGCCGCCTGCCGTAGGGCGGGCGGGCAGCGCCGGCTGCCCGCGAGCCTGCCAGCCGTGAAGGGCCAATCGAGATTCGCGGCACCCCTCCTCCTCCTCCTCCTCCTCCTCCTCCTCCTCCTCCTCCTCCTCCTCCCCCTCCTCCTCCCCCTCCTCCTCCTCCCTCCTCCTCCCCCTCCTCCTCCTCCTCCTCCTCCTCCTCCTCCTCCTCCTCATCCTGCGTGTTCTCCTCCTCCCACCCCCTCCTCTTCCACTCGATGCCCTCCCCGCGGCGGCGGCGCCTCCACCGAAGCACTGGTCATCGGGCAGGCCTGGCTTGCCTCTGCCGAACGCCTGCAGCCGGAGAGAGGCGCTGCGGGAGCTGGACGGCGAAGAGGAAACTGAGCTGCTTCTGGGACGACGGAATCCTGAGCTTAGCCCACCCACGGCACGGAGAGACCATCACGGCCAGCTCTTCCTCCAGTCAGAACACGGAGGCCTCCTGAGTGA